AGAAAACAGGCTTGTGGCAGGCTGGGGGAAGGGAAATGGGGAGGAGAGAACAGGCCCCTGGTGAGCTGGGGTGGGGGGAGAGGATATGCTTCTGGACAGCAGGGGAAACCCCCCACCCAAAAACCCTCCTCATTCCCTCAACCTTCCATCTCACACCCTCCCTCTGCCCCAGCTTCCTGCATTCCCCCCAAACACATCCCTAAGACCCTGCCCTGAAAGACACAGGCAACACCAAGTAAATGCTCTAGTAAGGAAATAAATCAGATTGAGTCAGATCTTGCAACCCTCACTCAAGTCATTTAGTTAACATCAACAGGATTATTCATGTTAAAAAACTGTTAGCTGTTTTAGGACTGCACATGAGTAATGTTTGAAGATCAGGCTGAAGTTTCATTGAAATGGAGTCTGTATAAACTACTTTTAATGAAGTAGAGCTGAATGGGCAAGTGACTGGTGTACTTTCTCTATTAGTGCTTTCTGTAATACTCAGGGTACAGCTTGACCTCAGAAACTGAGGCTCTAGAGCAGTACCAGTGATTGCTTTAAAAAAATTCATTCGGTCACCAAGCAATTCAGCTAACCACATAATGGCACACTGTATTTAGAGAGGCAATTACGGGCTCAGAAGACTGATGCAATTTTCACTAAACTAATGGCACCTAAGGTGATATTCTTCCACAATGTAGCACACAGAGGAACTAGAAAGGCATCTGAAGCTAAATCTGTACAAAATAAGCACGCTGAATATTTACCATTTTGTGTTTCCATGAAAAACAAATGGGTTACGGATCAAGACTGTTCCTAGCTTCAACTCCATATGTCCTTGCTATTGTACCTTTAAACAAAGCTCGTAATATTCATTTTGTGCCTAGATATCCAGGTGCTTCTTATTAATTTGTTCTACTGCCATATACATATACAGGCAGAGACTGCATCTTCAAGGAGTGCCCCTGAATTCTCTAGTGAAATCCTGGCCCTGAAGATGTCAATGCAAGTTTTACTGTTGACCCCAGCAGGGCCCAGATTTATTCCAAGGCATCTGCCAACATAGAGTTCGCTGAAGAATTAGAGCACACATGACTGTATATTTGCAAACTGTCAGATTATTAGTGACACCACATTCTGGGGACAGAATTTTGCCATATGTCAAACATAAATTGGTTCAGGTAATTATTATTTGTCTACTGGGAAGGGGGGAGGACATAATTATGCTGCAGGAGACCTCTTTATCCTTCTTTGCATTATGTTTGTGACAAGATCACTGCGCATGCATAAGACAAAATCAGTATTTGAGACTCCAAAGTAGGGAGGTGAAGTCTCAATCAAAAGTGAACACCCAAATCCTCTACTACTGGATGTGCCATATTGTAGGCAAGAAAGAAGACAAGGTCCTAACCAGATATGGCTCTTAAACACCATAGTATAAGAATGTTACCCCTTATTCTTTGATCAAAATGAATAACTTACCAGACACTACATCAAAATCTAGGTAGAAAAGTGTACTTTCCTGAGCTGGAATTTACTTCAGTAGTGTCCAGCGTTGCTGCATAATACAAAGTCTGCTGCATTTTAATGAAGAGTTAGCTGGCTATCAGTGGGCAAAGTGATCCAGGCAATTAGTACATCAGGCACCACTCCTACATCTGA